TAAGTTTCTTTTTCTTCTTCTTCTTCTTCCTTAAAACACACTCGCGAGATATTATTGTTAAAGCACCACACGAAGTTGAGACGAAGATAAACAAAAGAAAAGAAAAATATATAAAAGAAAGAAGGAAATAATAAAAAAGAACGTAATGGGACAGGCGAGTGGCATGCGCGCGCGCGAGCCATACGCGCGACGCGAGCCGTTTAAAAAAAAAAATAACACAGAAAGTTAGATACGACACAAACCGTACCAGGGTTATAAGTCGACTAATTCGTAGCGACATAGCGCGCCGTGCAAACACTCAACGACGTCATCTTGCGACCGACCGCGGAACCAAGTGACGCGCGAGAACCAATAGCAGCGCGCTTCGAAAGACATCACGTTCTTCGAGTGAGTGAAAGAGAGAAATAATGAAAGAGGGAGGGAGAGAGAGAGAGAGAGAGAGAGAAAGACACTAAGGAAAGATGACGTACGTAGATTAGAACGAAAAGAAAAATACTTTTGCTTTTTTTTTCTTTACATCTTTCTATTTGAGATTAAAACCCGTATTTTAATTTCATCGATATGTTAATAAAGAATTATAAAATGTTTTTCGTTAAATTGCTATTATTAAAAGTCTTTTAAAAATTGTCCGACGTAATAAAAAATGACTGAAAATAAAAAAACAAGAATGAAATAGAAAAGAAGTAGTAAATATAAAAAGAGTCAAAGAGATAAAAGGGCTTACCGAATTCCAGCAAACGAAGGAGAGCATCATGCTACGTTGTATATGTATAAAGAAGTATGTTAAAATTCTCCGTTTGGTAGAGATTGACTCACTGTGTGTCTACGAGAAACTGTTTCAAAGAGAACAACGTTGTCATAAAACAAAGGGAAAATTTGCGTTGGACTGTAGATGAGAATAGAAAAAAACTTAGAGATATACATATTAAATACAACGTTTTCAACGAGCCGTGTCAAAAACTTTAGAGAGTATGTTGCAATACAATGTTACGACAAAATATGTATGAGAATAAGAAGAACCAACAAAAAGAAGGGGGTGAGTAAGAAAGAGCTGGGGTAGGATAAGGGTGGTAACAGCTTTACAACAGAGGTAATACGAGTATTAAAAAGAAGAAAAAATATCCGATGGCTCGGTTTTTTATCTTCCTCTGTTTTTTTTCTTTTTCAAACAGACGTACTCATTCACGAATACGGTATGGTTTCCTTTGAAAACGCTGAGAAAAGCAAAACTGCGATTGAAAGTCGTCACCGTTGTCGTTTCTTTTTTTAGAGATCCTATTTACGAGTGACATTTAATTTTCGTTCCAGCAGCAGCACCAGTAATAGAATTGGATCAAAAATCGATCCCGCTTCGCTCTAAAACGCAAATTGTATTTTACGAATTGTAACTCTAACATTAGTTAGTTAATTTTTTTTTCTTTTCCATTTATTCTCAATCATTCGTATCGATATCGAATTATTTTCTATAATATAGATTTCATTTATTTGAAATTATTGAAAGTTGAAAAATGAAAACTCTTTAAATGAAGTCGTGCGTCACAAAAATAAAAAAAAAGAAATTAAGCGGAATTAAAAAAGAAAACGTTTGAAATTCTCTTTGTTAAACTATCGAGAGACTAGAGTTATTTTATGATTTAACATTTAACTTTATAATAGAAAAGATCTACGAAATTCCACGCGATATACTCTATCATTAACTTTTTCCTTAACCCACGTTAAGTATATATGTACAGTAAGCAAACAAGTAAGTACATTTGTACATACATATTTACTTTATCTACTACGCGTCACTTTCTCTAAAAGTAAGATGCAGCACACCGTGCAAGGCCATTGCATGCGAGATTAAATTTTTTATCGATAGAACAAAAACTCCAACGTCGTAATAATAAACATACATACAGAGGCACACTCGCGTAATAAAACCGATAGAAATTTGCTCTATCAAGACGAGTATAAATATAACTTAGTGAAAAAGTGAACCAATAATTTTCTTATACCCTTGACGTAACACCCCAGTAGTATTTTATTTGAAGGCATACACACCACCCCTCGTAAACGATGATTCATCGTTGCACTATTTATCTTCTATAGTGCAGTAGATGCAAGGAATATTGGAATGATTGCGGAGAATAGATCCGGCAAATATCAGCAAGTAGGTGCGTCAATTGGCTTTATTTAAAGAGCAATCACCTTCGTTCGTAATTATTAAATCAAATAATATATTTAACGCGCATTTAAACCAACATGGAAGGGAGAGGGGGTTGTACAATGCAACTTAGGCGGGCATCTGAGTGCTCGCTCGAGCGAGACCGTGGCAACGCATATATACGTTTGTACAAAATCTATAACTCTAATTTCTAATATAATATAATATAATATAATATAATAATATAATATAATAATATGATATAATAATATAATATAATAATATAACATAATATAATATAATATAATATAATATAATATAATATAATATAATATAATATAATNTAATATAATATAATATAATATAATATAATATAATATAATATAATATAATATAATATAATATAATATAATATAATATAATATATATATATATTTATAATATGTATACACCATGCAGAAGCAATGCTTTCAGGAAACTATTCGTTAGCTGCCTACGTGTTTCCATAATAGTCAAAACACTGTTCTACAAAAATCGTTTCTCAAAAAAATGGTGTTATAAATCTATTAAAAAAAAAATTAATAAAACAAGAAAGAAAAGAAACAAAACAGAAAAAAAACATCGCAGATGTTAATTACCTTTCTCGTTCTTTTTTCCAATAATGATTAAACTACCTACGAGGAAGTACGACTGATCGCATTTATAAAGTATACGATATGGAAGATGCGTTATTTCTTTTAAGGAAGAATCTCTACTAATATAATATTTCTAACGAGAGGAACGAATGATATAAATTAAGGGGAGGAAATATTATTATTAATCAATATTTGAAATTCAAACACACGAGTCACGTTCATCTTTATCGTCGATATCCATTTGCTATATATATATATATATATGGGATGAGGATGGAGTGGAAAAGGAGATGGGTATGGGGGAACAAGGGAATGGACAGGAGGAAGAGGAGGAGAGGGGTAGTGGATCATCATTCTATCGTCGTTTTCCCATCTTCGAAGAATATTCTTCTCGTATGTCTTTTTCGGGTTTTTTTCGATAGAAGAAGATGAACACCTCTCGATCATAGTATACAACAGCAAACTTACTCGACCGAAATCATAATCGGTAAGAATTTGTCAGAGGTGTCCGGAAAAAAGAAAGAAGAAGAAGAAGAAAAAAGAAAACGACGATCGCACGAGTATTTGTTGTCGTTCGCAGAGATCCTCTCGATCCGTCACTCAGCACTTCAAGATGTCTTTTTTTTCTTCTTCTTCTTCTTTTTCTTCTTCTATGTATATCGTAATATATATTCTATATATACATATATATATCATGATAAACGCAAGCAATGATTTATGTTAAATTTTATAATTTAATAAACATCATTTTTAAAACTTGACAAAATGAAAAGAAATTAAAACAAAACAAAACAGCAAAAATAAAATATATTCAATCCTCTAGCACCGCAAAACACGACCCCCTCCCCCAAAATTCACTGCTCGCCGATGGTATATATATATATATATATATATATATATTTATAAATATGTATGTATAGAACTATATAACTACAGTAGTTAACAAGACAAATCTGCGCACTGCGCTTTGTTGGCGGTGCCCGATTTTTTCGTTTTCTTTTACTTTTCTTTTTCTTTCCTTTTTAAATTCATTAATTCTAAGTTTATAAGTGTATCTCATGTTTCTGTGTGTATTTACGTGTTCTACAGCGTGTGTTTTATTTTGTCATGTCGGTGGAACGTATAATTGAATCCAATTAAGAGCAATGACCCATGTCGAGGCAAAAAAAATATAATAAAGTGCATCAGAGGAGCGATTACAATAAGTAAATACATCCAACGTGTTCCATTCGCAATTCACGCTATTTTTTTTCGTTTACTTTTGTTCTATTTTTCTATCTTTTTTTCTTTAATCAAAGAAACTGGTCCATACGGAGACCTCGACGGGCATTTCTTCAGATATTGGTAAAATAGACCAATCAGTTTTTTTTCGTATCTTATATTTTGATCAACGTTCCATATTTCAATCATGACAATGAATACCTAGTTGACAGTTTTTTCTTTTTTTTTATTCTCACTAAAAACTCACGTTCTATAATACGTTTATTCCTTTAACTTGTTATTTATTTTATTTTATTTAACTTAATATTTTATTTTATTTTATATTCTTTCCTTATTAAATTTCATGCTTCTTACAATCCTACATAGAAGTCTCAGTACGCACCAGTATTCGGAGCAATAAGCACCTGGACACTGTGTGTTATTACATAACGTTTCATTGTTACGATTACGATTTGATTTGATACGTATGGATACTATCCGCACCATACGGTCGCACCACACACAGTAATAGTGAATTACGCGTACGTCACTATGTTTATTAGTACAGACAATAAATACAAAATGTTAATTGGCATACAGTAATAATGTCTCACCGCTAAAACCGTATTGCCTTGAAAAATTCGATCGCTGGCAAAGAACCTTCTTTCTTTCTTTCATTCTCATAATTTCCTTTCCTTCTATCTTACTCTCGGTCGGCTTTATTTTCTCTCAATTATTATTATTATTATTATTATTAATATTTATTATTATTATTATTATTATTATTATTATTATTATTTATTTATATTATTATTATTGTTATTATTATTATTAATATTATTATTATTATTATTATTATTATTATTATTATTATTATTATTATTTTTATAATAAAGTCACGTTGGAACTTCGTCGAAGGAATTCGAGACGAATTGAAGACGTTTATTTGAATTTCAAGTTCTCCTCTTTCCTTGCTAAAATTTTATTGTGTATGTGACGATCGTGAATATGTGTATGTATTGTCGCCTAACTTTGAAATAGTTGGTAACTACATTTCATTTCATTTCATTTCTTTTCTTTTTTTTTTTTTCATTTCTTTTCTTTTTTTTTGTCGTATCGCGTAGCCTATAACGAGAGTGAATGATTTATATGGTATAAATCCGAGTACGGAACGCGAAACTTTTTTTTCCTTACACAATAAGTATTTAAGTTGTCATAACGGTCATCGAAGGTCCCGGTCACATTATAATATAGTCTCTACGGAAGGACGGAAGTGAAAAAGGAAAAGTCGATAGTTGGAATGTATGCATGTATGTTGTATGTATGTATGTAAGTATGCATGTACGTGATATAATATCTGCTGCTATGAAATTCCCAGAGAAAATGATGCTTCAGTCTTTTTTTTTGGTAAGATTTCATTTTTTTTTGTTTCTAAACGTTTCAAAAGGCTCCAACTATTACGCTTTGTAAGAATTATTCGCAAGGAATCAAAATCCGTTATTATTATTCGCGAACCCTCACCCCTATCCCACGATTTCTTGTACGTATGCAAATATTTATGTTTCTTCTTTATTCTTTTTTTTTTCTTTTTTTTTTAACAAAATTGCTTTCGTGAAAAATATATAATACATGTCGCGAAGAAACGTATCGTATTAATCAATCAATTTAATATACATCCCGATCGTGTGTCATTTTTAATGACACCATAATGTTTCAAAATATAAAATGAAAAGAAAAATAGAAATACGATACAATTACTTTACTTCCGTGTGTGTGGTGATAAAAAAAAAATTTATTTCAAAATAAAAATAAAACTTGTGCAACTGTGCTGCAAAATCAGCTTATATATATATCTCTGGAAACTTCAATGGAAGTTCGTAATATTTCCCATAGAAAAATAAAGATCTTCCCCCTCCCTAATTATTAACAAACAAACGAACAAACAAAAAAACAAAAAGAAACAGATTAAAAAACCCAATCGAAAAATACAAACGCGCGGAGAAAAAGGCATATTCGTAATATTTCGTCGTATCGACGATTTTTGACGCATTTTTTAGCGCATATAAATATCCTCTTATATTCCGTGACATAATTTGACTACATTTGTCGTTAAATCGACGTAGCGCAAACGCATTTAAACTGAGCCATCTATCGCCATATTGAAAATTAACGATTTTTCATTTATTTTCTTTTTGCCATCCGCGACAAAATTTCGAAGGCGTAAAGGACTCATTTATCAATTCGGTCACCTTGTATCATTAGTTTTTCTATCTTTTTCTAATACTTTTTTTTTATTTTCATTTTCTTTTTTTTCGTATTATCTCAGGTCGTTCTCAATTATCCGTGTATCAGCCCCCGTGTCTTTTCACGGTGACTACTACTATAACAAATGTTTTGTTGTTTACACCATCTTTGTCAAGTTTCTAAGTTCACGTGTAGTGTAGTATTATCTCCTAGGTAATAATTGTTGCGATTCCGTGTGAACTCGCCGTCAATTATGGCAACGCTAGTAGGAAGTTTAATAGCAAGTAATTGAAAAAGTGCAAAATTAAAGGCAGTGACGATTATGAATTCAGGCCCTGACGTTTTTCCTCTTCGAGCATCGCATCTAATTCGTCGGTCAATGTAGCAAGCATATTTCCAATATCATTGAGAACATCGGCAGGTTCGCCAAGGCCACCACCACCGCTGCTTGAATGATGTCCAACGATGTGACTACCGATACCACCACTACCACCACCACCACTCGTCGCGTATTCTTGGGCCCGAGCAGCTCTCTGCTTTATTGTACCAGCATTCTCGTTAGCAAATGGTAACGAGTCTGATTCTGTACTTGAACTCGACTACAAAAAAACATTTAAACAGATGTTCACGTTAATATCCAATAATCATAACACACCAATGAATTTTCTCTTATGTAAGAAATTTGATTGAAAAATAATACCTTAAAGCTAGCATCGGATCCATTCCGATGTTGCAGAGCAAGCGAGGCAATTAATTCGTGTTCCTCGTTAACATTGACGCTGACACTGCCCCAGGAACGTGACATCGAGGACGGTGGTCGATTAGTTGGTTGAGAAGTGGAAGATGCTGGCGCTGGTGCTGGTGGGGGAGGCGGAGTATGATGTAAATGATGATGATGTTGAAGATGATGATGCGTTTGATGTTGGTGATGATGATCCTCGCAGGAAGCAGTAGGCACGGGACCGCTGCAATCTATAACGACGTCACCAACGGTCGAACCACCAACAGTTACGACTGTTGGCCCACTTGTGTCTCTCGAACTTTGTCGTCTAGGTGGGGATGGTGGACAACGTTTTGGAAGATGCGGACTACTTTCCAATCCATACGTCAATTGATACTTGTTGTCGAAATCTCGGGGCAGCGATTTGAACTGCCCTGGTGTCGCGGTGACCTACATTTTGAAACGTCATGACGTCAGATCAATTCATATACATTCGTTCCTCTATCATTAAATTCTTAAATTCTTTTTTTTTTAACGAACACTGTAATGAATCGATGACAATCAACTTGATTGTTATTATACCTTTGCAACAGGCCGCGGACGAACCAAACAATGTCTCGGACGTGGAAGAGTTCCTCCACCCGCATCTACTGCTGAAGCATCGTTCGTAGGAGTGAGATCACCATCCTCAAAGCTTCGCGGGCGCCAATCTAAAGGTTGTGGATGCGATTGTGGCGCCGGCGAGGGTGGATAACCAAGCGGTGCGTCTTCCAAGCTTTCCAAAGACTTTCCTCTAGACCCACCTCTTCCCACCGTATTGTAATCACTCGGTAGAGCAGCGTACATGCTCCTCCAAGCACCACCGGTATTTCCTTCGTTTCCACCCCTTTGGAAGGATCTTAAAACAGGCGAGGAACAGTCCTCGTCGGGCGACGGCAAGTCGGGACCGCCTCGTTGAATAACGACGTCCTGAGAACCGATCAAAATGCAAATTTTACCTCTTGGTTCCGTCGAAGGCAAACTGTTGCCTTGAATAAAATTAAGGGGTTGTTGTGACTTGATCTCTCTGTATAAGCTCGCTGAATCGTAAAGATCCTTAACATCTCTTACAATGTTTTTCTCGTATTATTCCCATTTTGAATATATTTTTGTTTTTTTTTTGTATAAGAAAAAACTCGTTAAAAAAGATCATACATTTCTGGCGAAATGGATTAGAATAAAATTAGCATTGATATTGTTTAATCACCTGCGTGTGTCCAGGATGAGGTGGGAGACGTGCGAGATCCAAAGGTTGTATGCGTTTGCCTGCTCGAATATCTTTAACTCTTTTGATAGCTAATAGCAATTTCTTTTGATGACCCAAACGCACAATACCAATGTCTTCAAGATCCTCCCAAGTAAGTGTCGTAACGTCTTCGACCGAACGCATACCCTGTTGATGAAGAGCACCGAGATATTCCTCGAGTCTTAAAAGTCTGAGCCATTCCTCAAGCGAACCAGGTACGTGCTCAGGTAATCCGTCTCCTATATTCAAATTGTCTATCTCCGCTTTTAAACGCTTCCTGTGATTGGGTTTCTTAATACCTGTGAAAACAAATGATACGATATTATAAACGTGATGAAGACAAATATTTCATGCAATAGCAAAAATATACAACATGTGTAAATATATATATATATATATATATATATATATATATACCTATAGCCGTGAGATCCTCCGGCGTCATGCGCGTTATAGTAGCAAGATCGTAACCCGCCGAAGCAAAGAGGGGAAAGTATTCCTCGAATTGTAGCTCGGTCAGCCAAGCGTGAACGACGTCGAGATCCGCCGGTCTGTCGGGATGGCTCCCAAGGGAGCTGATGGAACACCTCGGCGATGATGCGAGAGCACCAGGTCCGCGCGGACCCAAATGATATCCAGACGCTCTTCCAGAATCCAAAGACGCAGTTGAATGTCTCGAACCCGAACCCGATCCCGAACTACCAGGGCTATCTCTTCCGGGACTTTGGGTCATGTCGATACCTTCAAATTGAATAGATACATTTGATCGTTTTTCCAAGACCATGTCAATTGAGATTGTTCGCATACGGTCACGGATTGAAGAAAAGAAAGGAAAAGAAAATAAAAGGAAGGGAAAATTGTTCAAATACGTTTTCTCAGTACCTTGATCCTCCGCGTGGGCGTATTTGCCAACAACCGGTGGAAAGGCAAATCCAGGGTGCGTAAAAATAGGACCCGGACTTTTTCCAGATGGCATCCCATAAGAAGCATCGTCGGTGGCCGGGCCACCACCACCCCCGCCACTTCCAGGGAGGAAGCAGCTATCTTCGCTGCTCGCATATCCGGCCGAACCAAACGAAGAACCAGAATGTCGAAATACATCAGGTACGGCCGGCGGCGCTACTTTCTTCGCCTGAGTGACGGCTTTCGACGGCCGGCTCATACCGCCAACTGGAACATTCAAAAAAAAATTCATAAATAACATTTAAAATCATTACATTCGCCATAAGCAAACAAAAAATAAATAATATATTTCATATTTACAGGTCATATATTCTTCATTAAATTTATTATATTATTTTGAAACAGATGAAACATTGGAACATGATGCAAAATAAAATAATATTGGAAATAAATATTTATGTGGAAAGTCAGAAAAATTGTTCTCGTCTTCTTATCACCGAACAAGCATTTATTTTAAAATTAGCGTGATCGATGGACGACGACGAGGCCTGACAAAAAAAAGAGAAAGATATTCTCGACGAAGATTCGAGAAAGAAACGAGAGCCTTTTAATGATTGTGCGCTCGTTGTGAATTAAAGTCGATTATTGGGCAGGATCGGTAAAGACCCCGTTCCAAGAATGGTGCATCATTTTCACCAGCAATAGCACATTACGTTAAGTCGTTTAAGAATGCGACGTAATGAGAAAATCGATAAAAGTTTTTACTGCAGCCCATTGGATCACCGCCAATGCATATGTGCATATACTACCTACTCCTCGTTCTTTCCTTCCCTCCTCCTCCTATCCACCTACCCTCCTCTCTTTTTCTATAAAGATAACGAGGCAACGATTCGTTGCAGTTCGTTGATTAACGCGACTCTTCTCTCTCTCTCTTACAGTGATGGAAAATATAAGAAAGAAAAAGAATGGGTAGGAAAGAGAGATGCAATCCCGATGAATCACGTCTTCCATTGTGTTTTACCGATGTTGCGTACTCGTAAAGCGCGTAATATAAAATTCAAAGAAACAAACGACAATAACAACAACAACAACATAACTATTGGCAGCCGCCAACAGCAGCAAACCACGAGATGCTGCCGCAGAAGAAGAAGAAGAAGACTACTACAACACAGTGTTGTATCCTCAAGTATAGTAACAGCAGTAGCAGCAGAAAGCGTCAAGAAAATATTTCGCCTCTTTGAATCGTTACAACAGGCTCCCCCTTTTTTTTCTCTCTTTCTCCCCCTTTCACTCTTTTTCTCTTCTTTTCTCTCCTTTACGTCACTCTTGATGTAACGCAACGTTGACGACGACGACGACAACTATGATGACTATGACGAGGAGGACGACACCAGCCGTTCTAATTATCTCAATACCAGAATGTAGTAGTCGTCGTTCGTCGCCGTGCCGACGACGAAAGAGACCGAAGTATGAACGAACACTACCAACACGCACACTTCATATATATCTCTCTCACTCTCTCTTTTTTCTCTTTCCCCTAATCATTTCTTTTCGCGGATATATAACCTACAACAGTCGCGGGTTCTACTCAACGACAATGACTACCTTTCTCGTTTCTCCAAAGACGAGGATGATGTTGAGGGTGGTTTTGTACAAAAAAAAAAAAGAAGAAGGGGAAAAAATAAAAGGAAGAAAAAAAAGAGAAAAAGAAAGATGCTAAAGCACCACCGACAGCGTCTAAATTCAGACTTGTTTCTTCCTCTCTCTCTCTTTCTTTCATTCTTTCTTTCTATTTCTCTACTACTACTCTCAACCTGAAAGTATATTCCGGAAACTCGAAGGTTTATTGCCCCAAGCGTTTCTTGGCTGACCAAACTCGTTGCCTTACGTCACTCACGATAAGAGAACGAACGGAAAGACGACGTAAAAGTTTACAATGCCAAATATCCCCCACGGACCTTTCTTCATCTTTCTGAGAAACGTGAGAAAGAAAGGAAAAGAAATGGTGTAAAAGTCAAAAAAATATTTTGCAAGATCAAACAAGACCATTTTCTTTTTCTTCTTCATCTTTATTTTATTTCATTCTTCAAAAGTATTATTAGAAAATAGTTAGAAATACAGAAATATAAATCAATGTTAAGTATTGGGTTGTTCGGAAAGTTCGTGCTGATTTTCGATAGGTGGCATAAAGTTCTTTTTGCTGAAAAACCTAAAAAGTTCTGGAGGGAGAAAATTTGTATGTNCCTAGAAAGGTTGTAAAACAGAATGACACTTATATATAATTTAATAAATATATACCAAAAAAGAAGAAACTTAAATGCGTTGCATTTCAATCTTCCGTCAAAATCGGCATGAACTTTCAGGACAATCCAATAGTTAGTTGAATGAAATAATAAACAAAAAGAAAAGAAATGATCCGACAATAAAAGCGAGTTTTGTGAAAAGTAAGAAAAGGTAGTAGTAGCTTTTTTGACTACTTGACACGTGATAATTAACATTATTCTTTCACAAGATTTCAATGCTCGTAGGTGGACGAGGAAGGTTTCCTTTATCTGGCGTAGGTGCGAAAGGAGAGAGAGGAGAACTTGACGCGACTTGAGGGGATATATAGGACAAGGAAGAAGAAGTAGAAGGAGTAGAAGGTGGAGTTAAAGAAGAAAAAAGAAGAAGAAGAAGAAGAAGAGGAGGAGGAGGTCAAAGTCAACGGGCTGTGTCAATTGGTTGCGCAAACACAGAAAAACTGATGTCTTTCGACGGGACAAAGAGACAAGGAGGAGTCGTCATCTCGTGTCTCTTTGGTACTCTTCTTTCCGAGAACTATCTTTTTCTTTTTTTATATCTATCTCGCTGAGTATAGCTGCTACGTAGCGGAATAATGAAGAAGAGACTAGAATGATGATGATAGAGAGAAGGAAGAAAAAGATAGAGGACTTTGGGGACACCCCAAGGAACCACTGAGCTTGCTCACAAAATTTAAATACTTTGCCTCTTGTGTCTCTTGAAAAAGAATCTTCTACTTCTACTTCAACTTTTACTTCTTCTGCTTCTTCTTTACTTCGCACTTCTCTTCCGACATCGTGTCCTCTTTTGATGGGGATTGAAAGAACTCGACTGGAAATGGCAGTTCGACCCACTACCACCATCCTTTCTATTCCTTTTGTATTTTCTTTTTCCTTTTTTTAATTTTACCTTGTCAAATGACGATGGGTTACATTTCCTGACAAATCGTTAAGGAATCATATTTTTTTTAAATTATTTTTCTTTTTTTTTTATTCTTATCGAAAAGATTATCATATGCGACTCAATTAACGGATGATACAATAGTTTTTTTTATTTTTTTTATCAAATGTGACGACAAAGGCAAAGATAAAAAAGAGATCTAAAAAGTAGATTCTTTTTTAAAATGTCCACTAAGCACGTTTGATATAGTTAGAACGTAGAAACAAAACGAAATAAAATCCGAGCAGTCGTACTATCTTTGGCATAAATAGACGTGGTATGCGAGACGATGATGGGCGTGCTATGTACTTCGTTGCATTGTGTGTGTGTGTGTGTGAGAGAGAGAGAGAGAGAAAGAGAGAACACGACCCACATCTAATTCGTGCATCTCTTGCAAAATTGCATTAATCTTCTAGCGCGCTTTATTTCTTCTTAACGATCTTGCCGGTTTACTGGAATGTTTATTCTACATAAAGAACGCGATACAATTTATAATTATTATCATTATTATTATTATAACATTTTTTTGTAATCTGTTAAAGTTCAGTATCTTGAAACATTTTCTTTTATAAAAAATTAATTATTAATAGAAAAATATAAATATTATAATTGTTATAAATAATAACATTATATAGCATTTTAAATAGATCATCAGTATATATATATATATATTATAATAGGTATAAGATGACGATAAGGTTGCTTTCTCGTTGATGTTTTAATATTAATTTTATATATTAATAAAATACCAAACACACTTATAAAAAAAAACTCTTTATTATAAATATTAAAGAAAAAAAATGAAAAATATTTAAAAAATACCGATAAATAAACAACCTTATCGACATGGTTATTATTATTATAGATTCCAGGTGTTAATAAATGAATGAAAAATATTCATATATATATATTTCAAATAAAAAAATAACCTTGATAAAAAAAAATAAAAAAAATAAAAAAGAGGGGGCGGATGGCGGACGGACGGGGGAGAAAAGAAACTCGAACGAGGACTCGAAAGTAAGATAAAGTTGAAGTCGAAGCACATATTCTCGCTAAATGCAAGATACCTTTAGTATACACACGTGAGTAAGTGTGTACGGTGTATGCTTACGTACAAAGTCGAACGTGAAGAACGGATCGTTCGTCGTTGTCGTCGTTGTCGAGGTAAGTACGAACATGAGCGTTTACAAAAGTAGGATAGAGAAACCGCGCTCGTTTCGACATGCTCCTCTTATGTCTTTTAATGTATTACTCTGTTGGACTTTTCGTCGTCCATCGTCTTTGGAGTCTTTGGAATCTTTGGATGAAAGATCATCTTCCAAAAGTCTTAACAACTACGTTCTTCTAACGCGTACATAAACTATATTCTTTTTACTTTAGAATTTTAAAATGTGTCATGTGTTTTCGATATGGTCCTTCCGTAAATACTATTATGCTATCTTCACCATAACGATACAGTACCTAACAAAAGTATCCAAGAAATATTTCCTTCTACACCTACTTCCACCCCATACAACCCAAAATATAATATAAATAAATCAAATTGTAATTTAATAATTTTTGGGTGGGACAAAAATATATTTAGATTTTGCAAATATATAATATTTGTATAATTAATAATTTTTGGGTGGAGGAAAAATATATTTAGTTTTTGCAAATATGTATGAGTAATAAGAAAATGATAGGTTATTGTAAACAGGTTAAATTATTATTTTGTAATTGTATTTAATTATAATTTAATTATTACAAATTTTTGAAAATAGGTTATTGTAATGTTCCACTGTAATATGAAACACCACCTTATATTTAATAAGAAAAAAATAAACGAAGAACCGGATGATGCATATCAAGAATGTTGTTTGATAAATAATAAAATTGAATTAGTGTAAATATAATTTTATTTATTACTGTATGCAAGACGCGTGTATACACGCCCACGTAACTAAATACGTATATATAAGATAGGAACGTTGAAATGTTATTTTGAAAAGGCTTTTAAAGACAGCAGCACGTTTTGTATCCACATTGAGAGAAGATCCTTAAGGCAC